TTTTGGTAACAACTGGTGTAACAGCAACTACAACTAGAATTTTAGGACAATGTATTTGGATCTGCCAAAGTCTCCCGTACAAAATATGTTTTTCACGACCATTCCAAACAGAAATGGTTACATTTCTATGGTTGTCCCATTGAAACCTCTTAAAATTGAGCCAACAATTCTTCTTTGTCCATCTACGGCCCTTCAGGAAAAAAAAAGGAAACCTTGTTGAGAACCCTCAGGCTGCAGGACCATTCACGCTGGAACCTCCTTGATTCAGCGTGTCCTCTCAGACACGCTCGTTAACAGATGTGTCTGGATAAGAGGGTCGGGGCACAGGAGAGGAGCCACAGAGGGACCAGGAAGGTCGTAAATCAGATTTATTAAAGCTGCCACTGTAAAAGTGATTGGCTGTGACACGGTGTGTGACACCTATAAGAAGCATGTGCAACACGCTAACACATTAGCGCTAACGCTGAGATGGAATGATACGCTCCCGTTCCTTGTTAGCCTTGTTTGTTAGCGTTATCCAAACTTATATGACGACTCAGCAGCACGGCCCAGTGGTCTGAGGTCTGAGCTCCTCCTGGCTAATCTGTCTGCATTTCCACCTACAAAACCAGAGGAACTATTGACGATCTGTCCTCCACACACACTTCTCTCTGATTTACACCAAACGCCACACACACACACACAGTCGGTATATGCAGAGTAACAGTAACAGAAGAGGGCGACGTGAAGGAGAAAGACTCGGATCAGATGAGTAAGCAGAGTTCTGCTCTCCACTCGGACCAACACGTCACCTCTAGGGGGCGGGCGGTGATTCAGTCCCAGTGTTATCCTGGTAATAAAAATGTAATACTCTCAGACTTTCTACTGTCTGGGCATGTGTGTATGTATATGATCATGCATCTACTGTGCCTGTCAGACGAGATGGCCGTCGGGTCGATGGCTTTTAGCCGTGTAATTACAAAGTGCACCTCCCCCCTTTATCCTCTCCGACCTCATCGCTCCTGGGACTTTTCTGAGCAAATCTGTTGCTGTTTCATTCAGACTATTGACTCACCGTGAAGCAGACCTAGATTACAACTGTGTTCGTTTGGTTCATCTATAATGGAACGCCAGCAAATATCAATTCAGCCGATAACATGGCAGCAGCTAATGGAAACGTGTAGACCTGGTCATAATGTTCATAGTCAGAATCAGAAAAAATGTCAATTAATGTTCATTAGTATTCATCCTTCAGACTGGCCGTTGGGTTTTGTCGTAACTGATGTTTCATTCAGACGTTTCCAAATAAGAATCCTTCCGTAGAACTGTTGTCAGCCTTTGTCCCCACTGTCCGTCCATCTCAGACTGGTTTCCAGTACATGATACTGAGTTCACTGGATTAAATGTCCTCCACAGTGGACTTCAGTCAATGCCCCCGTGGGATGTAGTGGTATGGGAGATTCACATCATAAATGTGGAGCTGACAAACACATCAGACCAATATGGTCCAGAGTCTCAGAGGAATTGTTTTTCCGTCATCTTCTTGAACGTGTGCCACAGAGAATTAAGGCAGTTCTGAAGGCGGAGGTTTGTCCGTTCTGGTACAGGTGAACGGCGAGAGCCATGTCTGATCCAAATCCTCCACAGTCAGAACATCAATCTGAAAACTTTTATCCTTCAGAGCAGGAACTCATCAAATTTTAAAGAAACACTTCTGAGAAAACAGAACAAGCAAACTGAGAGGCCATTATGATTTGTAAACCCTGCCGCAGGCCAACTAATCAAACTCAGAGGGATGTAAACTGTAGTCGGTCAACAACAACATCAGGTGGCGTTAGCAATAGCAACGCTAAAAATGGACATTGTCACGTTTTGTCACCCTGTCTAATTGAAGCCCCGGCCACTGTTTGTATGAGCGGAGCTTATAGGTTGATACACAGGGACCACAGTCATCGTGAAAGGATGGAGTCGATACAGTTGGTCCTCAACTTACGTCGGCTTAGATACTCGACATAAGTCACTCACCTACGCTTCCACAATGGTAACATCATGATCTAGGACATAAAATATCAGAAGAAGAGTCATACTGAGGGGCAAAAAGTTCCCAAAAAAGTTGGATTATGGAGATGGAGTTGCCAAGAGGAGAAAAGGAAGACCTCAGGACATGGAGATGATTGCAGTAAAAACAGAGAAGGCAGGAGATAGAGTGAGAAGGAGGCATAAAATCTGCTGTAGCGACCCCTTTTAGGTTTTTAAAATAACTCGATTAACAGTTGGTTGAAAACCCACACAATCAAGAACCAATCAACAAATTAAATCAGGAACTGCACAAATCCCAGTTTGTTGCCGGTCACTTGGCAGAAGACGAAGAAGAATGTTTTTAAAATGTTGGACCAAATCTGTTTTTATTTTGACAAACACTGTTGTGAGCCAAAATTCCCAACGTATCAAATGATATACAAAAAATATTTGGCACATGTTTTTGAATTTTATTATAATGTTTCATAAACATCTCAGTTCCAAAAATATATTCAGGTTTGTTGTCCCTCAGTCATCAGCAGTATTTACTGTCTTCTTTAAATACCTGCTGTGTGGTCCTGTCACTTCAGTGGAATATTAATCTTCAAATTCAGCACTGCTCAAGTTCAAGGCTTCATGACACAAGTACTCAGATCCCTGAGGCCGGTTGGTGCAGAAGATTAGGATCAGGTCTCATTTCCTCACTGTGTGTGTGTGTCCATACACACACATCCAACAAAGACCAGGACCTCATTGTTGGGTCCAACATTTGGACTGATGAGGACGGAAGGCACGGCTAAATAATACTTCCACCCTTCCTCCCATCTGTACCTCCGGGCTCCAGAGACAGCAGGCTGAGCCTCACAATACTTTTACCCCAGAGAGGCCTCAGCCTGCTGGGCCGCTGATGGCTGCACCTGCCCCCCCCCCCATCCCCTCAGGCCCCTGTGGCCTGGCCTTCCTAAGTAGACAATAAAAACCGCACACGCTCTGAATCACGTAAAGCAGCTGTCTGTATTTTACTTTTCTATCTCAATCAGACCAACTGGAGTCTCTGGAGACAGGTTGTTACCCCGCTTCCCTTTGAGTTGCCCTTTTCTTCACACGTTGCTCTGTTGAGGTTCCACGTGTGTGATGTAAGGTATCGTTTTTCACCCTACAGAGGCCCTGGCTAACTTTGTAACCAAGCCCTGCTTCTCCCGGGCCACCAGGAGGAGGCGTATAAGGTAAGATCATACAGAAATATTAACTCACCTCCTCCTCTCGCTCCCCTCTCTTTGTGGTGAAGTTGTTAGGGGGAAGCATGAGAGTCTGATGGTCCTCGTCTCATGGCTAATTGACCTCCTCAGTTCAGTGAGCGTGGGGGATTTCTTTCCCTCATAATTGTTACATTTTTATTCCAGTCTGGCATTGTTATCAAAACTAATAATACAGTTGGTTTGGTACAAATGAACCCTTTGTACAAATTTATTACGATGTGTTTTAATGAAGTGCTTTTTGGCACAGTTTTTAGGTGATAACTTACCTGATGCAACCCTAACTGCTGCTTTTTTTTTTTAGCCCAGGAGGCGAATGTATCATTAGCTTTGTGTGGTTAGCTGGTTAATCCCCTGCTGGATTTGAACCAAAACCTTCTGGATGGAAGATGACCTACATATTAACTAACCTGTTCCTGCCCCCAGGGGCCGCTAATGTTGTAAATAATACTGTATGACTGAATCAAATCTGCACCCAACAGTTTCTGTTAAATGTTGTAAACAAAGGTCAGGTTCAATTTAAACAGTTCTACAGTCACTCATAATCTCCAACATACACTTTATCATCTGAGCCAAAGTTCCACAACAACTATAATGCTTTGGGTATACATTTTCTTTCTTTTTCTTTTTTTCTTTTTGGCCCTGCATTACCTTGCTTTACCACAAGAGGGCTGAGGTCTGCTCTTTCACAAGGCTACTATGGTCAGATCTGACAGTATGGTTCCTGATCTTGAGCCAAATAAGAACCAGAACCTTATTTCTGTGGCACTGGTTACGGCAATGATGAAGATGTGAAATATAACGAGGTGGTCAATCTTGTGACCCGCGGCCCACGTTGGGTCCTAACATTTGACATGGGGGGCGTGTCAGGAGCAGATAGATGGAGCGTTTGTGTGAATTAAGATAAAAGCCTAAAATGCTAAAAGGCTTTTAGCCTTTACTACGCCATCTATTGGGGAAATGCGGGCATTGCAGGGAAATGGCAGATGTATAATGATTATAGAAATTAACAACATCGTTTGGCAGTCCAGATTAAAAAGCCAAACGGACCGCATTTGGTCCCTGGGCCGTAGTTTGGTTAACATCATCACTAATTATTGATATTATCAGGGTTGTTTTGGGTTTGGGGTTACATTCCGGTAACGCCATGTGCAGAATTATAACAAGAATGACTGAGATCTGACAGTATGGTTCCTGATCTTGATCCTAATAAGACAGAACCTTATTTCTGTGGCACTGGTTGTGATGATAAAGATGTAAAATATAACGAGGTGGTCAATCTTGTGACCCGCGGCCCACGCGCGGTCCTTCACGTTG